GCTGAAGCAGTAGGATTGCGAGTTCAAAGACAGCCTCAAGCAAAAGCGAGGCACTAAGCAACTCAGTGAGTCTCTATAAATAAAATACAAAATAGGGCTGGGGATATGGCTCAGTGGTTGAGTGCCTCTGAGTTCAATCCCCAGTAGCCGAAAAAAAAAAAAAATTCCACTAACATGATAATGTATTTGATAATCAAGTTCTCAGCCTAGCTTGCAGAATTCTGTATAACCTGGACAATATATGAAACATCACTTTGTACTAATTCATCACATCTTTTTTTCTGTGGGAAAATTCATATAGTATTCCAGTCCAATGTGACAGGAATACTCCTCTCTCCACCTTGGCACTGGGACTGAGAGGAAGGACTCACACACTAGAGTTTCCAGGAAAGGCTCCTTTTGAGGACAGCAGCAACATTCTGCTTCATTTTGCTACAAAAGTGAGATATTGGGTGAAAACCCACGGGCTTTTCACATGTACACATAGGAAAGCACCTTTCTCCTAGATTACAAACGTAGTAAATGAGAAATAATTGGTTCAGGGAGAAAGCAATGCCAGAACCAGGGTCCGTGTGCCTTAAAGGCTGAACGAGAATGGATCCAGGACAATCACATGTCCTTCCTAGGCTGGGTACCCTGTCCTCTAGGTAGTTCCTGCTGTGACCTTGAATGTGGCCATGAGGTCTGAACTTTATTCCTGCTCAGTCACATTTTGGTGTTTCCTGTGATACCTCCCAGATGGCTAAACACATCGTGCTTCTTTCTTGTGGCAGATGTGTCCTGGGGTCCAACCTCCAATTTGATCTGGATTCAGCTTGGCTCCAATTCAGTGTTGTCCAATTGAAGAGTCACAAACCATGGATTCTAAATGCAGACCCCTCCTTACTTTAGGCTAATCCTAAATCAGGCAGTCCCTCACATGTGTTCACTTGGAGTTCCTATTTGTCAATAAGTAGTAATTCCCAGATTGTGGCATCTCTTTATCACCTTCATTGTTTTGGCCATAGTCTTATGACAACTGTACTTCTACTTATCTAATCTTTTACTACCCTGAGTCAGTTTACTTTTTTTATTTAACTTCATCCTCAACAAAAAATATATAAAATTATAGGCTGTGGCTCAGCGGTAGTGCACTTGCCTGGTATGTGTGAGGCACTGGGTTTGATTCTCAGCACCACATATAAATAAATAAAATAAAGGTCTATCAACAACTAAAAAAAATAAAAATAAAAAATTTTAAAAAATAAAAAATATATATGCATATATATATGTATGTATGTGTGTATATATTATGTATGTGTGTATATATATGTATAAATATATGTATATATATAATCACAGACTTGGTAAGTCAGTTATTAATTTGTTTAATACAAATTAGAATATATAAAAACATTAAAATTATTAAGAAACTTTGTCCATGTTCATCCCCTGAAATCATCTTACCTATCACTAGTGGTCTATGTCACCCACTGGAAACCCTGTCTTTCAGTCTTCAGTAACTTATTGAATGGCTAAAGAGATAACAAACCCTAGTGGAGGAGAAAGTCATTACATGCATTGAGTAGGCTCAGTGCCAAGAAGTGTGGGGTACTGTGAATGGCTATAGTAAGAAGACTGTTTTAAGGAAGTAAAGGAGATTGCTCTGTGAATGGCTATATGTCAGGATTAAACTTTCATAAAGATCGTATTCTAATTTTTATATAAAATCTTTGCATCAATAAGGCTCACCATTATCCATGACCTAGGGGGAAGAAAGAAACAGGGAGTTAACACCTGTTACGTTACAAGTGCCAGGCCAGGGCCCTTCACATACATTATTTCATCAAATCTACATTCTAAGGGATATTATCCAGAGTTTACATACATTGAACTGGGGCCTTCTGCAGGCAGGATGAATAGAAGCACATGACTATTAAATGGAAGAGACAAATTTTAACATAGGTCCACCTCACTCCCAGAGCCTTTGATTTTCCTGCTCTGTCATGTTTCTTCTCATGCTGTTGTTTGACCCACTAGGCTATATTTTTTTCCTAGAATGTTTTATGTATTACTGCAGTCTAGCAGCAGTGTAATATCTTAGGCCAAGAAGCAAATCACACATATAAAAGCTTTGATTTTCAGTCTATCTACAATGGAAAGATTGACTAATTCTCTGTCATATTATTAAGAAGTATATGCCTTCTATTCTAAAATTGAATACCTAGGAAATATGAACTCAGTAAAGAGAGTCTTGGGGCAGATGGTTGACAAAGAGCCAGAGAGTTTAAATACCATCTGTCACTATTATCTGGGTTTAATAATCGCCTACACTGACCTATAGAAGCATTCTGCAAAATGGATTACAGCTAGATTTTTATCTTCCTCCTTTAACTTTTCGCCCATGGATAATCCATCTTTACCAACATTCAGTTATATTTTAATACTAAAAGCCCTTGTTATGAATTTGGTCAGTAGCCAGCCCATTCAGCTTAGTGGGAGGGGATGGATGGATGGAAGGGTATGATAGATTGATTTTTAACTACATGGCAAAATAAATTCACACTGTCAATTCTCCAGATGCCTGTCTGTTGCTATCCTGGTCAGGACCATAGTTTGTAGTTTGAAAGTTATGGGGTTTTCCAGCTTATAGCAAAGTCATAAAAAGAAAATGCATATTTCAAAAACAAAACATCCTACTAATTCTTTGAATATGGAGATTGTGGTAAACAGATAGTAATTCTTAGAAGTTCTGAGTTGCCAGCTCTGATGATCCCTAGCTAAGAAGTGCCAAATGCCACCAGGAAGAATATAACAAACACAGTCACTGTTAGAAGGAAACAAACAAGGCTTCATGGTTATATTCCCCCTTGTTTGGTGGCCTCTCTAGGCTTGTCGTCATTGATTTCTATGAATTAAATACCCAGTATCTGGGAAACTAACAGTGAAACTGTCCTTTGTGGCTCAGTGGCCAGTGAGAAAATGTCTAAAATGTCACTGAATGCCTTACCAGTCTTCCTATTGGTTTCTGCGTTGGTGCTTCTTCATATTTGAGTGCTTGCCTAGTGATATCAAGGAAATGAGGTCCTTAGCTGGCTGCCCCAGACCCTGAGGCACAGAAAGAGAGCCCTAGACTATGAGAAGAAGCCCACTACCTCAGCTTAGGTCAAAACGTGTGTAGATCCCAGGGCACTCAGCTGGACTTGCATATTTCCTGTCCCTTCTGGGACATTTTCCTAGACCTTTCCCTTCCCTTGCTTTAAAGAAATAGCCAAATGGGGAAAATTCTAAAGGAGCATGTTTTTGAGTGAGGAAATACCCAAGATGGTACCCAGGAAAAGGACCAGTCTTGGTTAAGTAATATATACAGGATAGTTCTGCATTAGACCAAGTGAATATTTTTATAATGTAACCAATAATGACTTTTTAAATTCTTACTGTGTAACTTGCTTTAATTATGAATTTGAAAAACATCTGCTACTGTGAAGCCTGTCCCTTCCCCATTAGGGCAGCTTTGTAGGTCTCAGCTCCCTGGTCTAGTGCCCCTCCACTCTGGCACCTTTGTCTGCTGTTGGGTGATCTTCTCCACAAACTAGGTCTTAGTTGAGTACTCTTCCAACCATTCTGCCGTCATATGCTTTTCTCCAGCTTTTTGTTTTCCCGTCCCTGTTCTTAGCATTTAGCACCCCCCTTCTTTGGCTCTCTCTACCTCTGTTAATCTTTCTACTCTGCCTCTTGGAATCCTTGTTCTGTGGCAACAAGTAACCCTTGCTTCCCTGAACTTTTTCACTTGGTCTCCTTCTTCAAGGTCACTACTGTCAACCTTTCTCCTGTAGATGTTGTGTCCCCTCTAGAAGGGAATTGCAGTATTCTTAGTCATTTGCTGCTTTGAGAGCATGATTCTGCCAAAGCCCAGTGCCTTTCCTCTCCCCCCATCCCTTTGTCATCCTCTTAGACTCCCAACTTCATCTTAACTGCATCGCCTGGGGACTTTCAGGACCAGTGGTTTTTAGCATAGTCACCACAGAGTAAGGAGAAATGTTCCTGGTAGAAGTGCTTTGCACATTGGAAGAGACAGAACACTTTGAGGGTCCAGATCAGCTCAACAACTTCGTCACTCTGCCCACACTCTCCTTGTCCCCCTGGCTTGTACTTTAGCTTTCAGTGACCCTGTGATGAGCTTAGGTTCTATGCTTATTTCTCAGGGACACTGCACCTTGGGAATACCATTATCTAAATGCTTCACCATTAAAAAGAGAACTGCTGGGCTGGGGATGTTGCTCAGTGACAAACAGTGTGGACACAAGTTGTACTGACAAAGTGCAGAGCAGTGTTCTTTCTCCGGAACTTGACATCTAAGTCTGTTCCAGCCCAACCAGCTTTGTGACAGAGGGCAAACCTTCAGCATCTGGAACCTAGTGTCCTTTTCTGGACTTCATTGTGCTTCACAGAGTTCTCAGACCCTCTCCTGTGTATGGTCAGAGGAGTTCCCATTCCTCTTTTTTCTATATTGAGATTCTGAGATTTAAAAAGGTTCTAAACTATTGGAGTAGATAATACCCAAGATTCATTCCAGCTCTGGTATACTTTGTAGAACCATGTCTTGGTCCTTTCTGGAACCCTTAACATATCCAGCACAGCTCATGCTCATTGACAGGGCTTATTACACATCCTTGTGTACTGTCCTGAGCACTTGACATAGATTATGAAGTTTAATCCTCCCAAGTGTCTTGCCCAGATCCCATATCTGGTCATTGGCAGCGCTGGGACTTGGGAGTTCTATGACCTACAACAGCAACAATGAGTTATAAATGGGAAATTAGTCAGGCATAAGATAGCATGTAATGAATATAAATAATATAAATGAATCGGGTATTTTAAACTTTTTTTCATACAAAGTCTTCAAACTCCAAACTTCAAGCACATCTCAGTATGAACTAGCCACATTTTAAGTGCTGGTGACTAGATGTACTCTGTGGGACAATGTAGATCTAACCCACCAAAGAAATGGATAAAGAGGAAACAGACAATTTGATGTTTATTGGGAAGGAAGAAGAAAACAACTCAGTGCCCTTTTCCCAGATGCATTGATTTTTGCATTCTTCTGTCTCCTATGTTGTCTTCTTTTCTAGTTTGGGTGGGGACTATAGATAGAAGTTGGGGTTCTTACATGTAAAACCAGCAGAGCTGAGGTTGATGCAGCCACCTGGCCTTCTTCCCCTGAATTAGGGATGCTTGAGCGCCAACTAACAAGTATAAAATAGTGTTAATCGGCACTAGCAAATCTTCCCCAGTGTGTCTTTTTTTAAATTGCTTGCACGTGGGGAGCCACATTGTCTCTGTGACCTCTCACTCCATATGTCACTTTCAGAAACTTAAAATTGCTAAGGAAAGGACCAAGATAGAAGATCTAGATGCCAGTTAGCTTCATTTTAAAAAATTTAAAAATCTGGTTGTAAAAATGCCAGATGTTACAGAAATGTAATCTTTCCAGTACTCCCATACAAAACCCTAAAGACTCCCTGAATATACTTTCATATCTTCTTTTTTATAAATTCAAGAGTGCATGCATACATTTATGTTTAAAATATATAAATACATATGCACACATTGCTCTTCAGTAAATTTTTTGTACAGAAATGGGTTTACACTATGTGCTAACTCATTTTTAAACTGAGGAAAAGAAATCCTTGCATTTATTAAATAGTTTAATTTCCTGTTGATAGATATTTAGGATTTACTTGTTCATTTCATTTTAGTCCTATTATAAATATTGTTGCAGTAAAATCCTTGCATTTATTTTTTGGAACATTTGTCCAAGTATGTCTCTACGGTGAATTCCAGAAGCATAATTATAGGTTCAGATAACATGCATATTTTTTAAATTCTTCTAGCTAAACCAATTTACCCTCCAAAAATCTTAAAGTAAAAATCTGTTTTTAGCTTAAAGTGAGAGGTAGGATGAGATTCTTGAAGATAGGAAAGGTAGACAAGAGTAAATAAATCAAAAATTCTTACATAAGTGTTGGCTACTTCTTCTACCCTTATGTAAAAATATCAACTGGAAAACATAAGTGAATGTGGTAATTTTGTAATGCTGTTGTTAAGCTTGGTTTGATGCATAAGAGACCTCTTTCAACTGTAAAATTTACTGTGGGTTTCCTTTTTATCAGTTGGGTAGCAATAGGGAAGGAATCGACCTCATTTTGTCAGTTAAAAAAAATTATCTTAGATAAAGTCACAAGCACTTTTTTAGACTGTTTTTTTCCAGTATACAGCAGACCCAGACATCATTCTACAGAGTTCCATAATGCCTGAATTTGGAGAATATCATTTCTTGAGTTGTGATCTTCCTTCCAGGGAGGACCTAGACCCTGGCACTCACTCTCCACCAGTTCTTCCTTGGTAGCTGCCAGAGCTCATGAATGATGTTTTGCCTTCTGGGTCTTTGCCTTGGAAAAACTCTGGAACCTCTTCTATCAGCCATTTCCTCAGATTAGGAAAAGAATCAGACTAATAGTGTCAAGTCATCTGGTCAGAGTCTCAGGTCTACATCGTCACATCTTTCAAGCTCAGATATCTAGTTTGAGGCAAGAAAACAGATACTTTTTAATTATAAAACACTGGCAGAGAAAGAAAATATTTGATAAGTTGAAAGCCAGTTCTCACCAATCTAATTTTAACGGGATGGCAAACTTACCTCCTTTTTATCAAGAGCAGGAGGGTAGTAACTACTTCCTTGCCCTACAAAATTTACTTTTAGCTGGAATGTGGACCTCCAATCTAAGTCTGGCCATGGTAACTCTTTCAAAACATGATGTAACATTTACATTTGTTGCTTTTTTAACATTCATACAAATTTATTAGACAAAAAGTGCAAGTAAATGATAAAAGATATTTCAGACAAATGTAAATTCATGCTATTTCATTATATATGCCTACATAATTTCTCTCTAACAGTGCATAGGTGCTAAATTACAATAGTAAAATGTAACAAAAGATTCTACTAGATCTTGTAGTAAAGTGAGCTGCTGTAGTGGCAATCTGTAGGACACTCCGTTTGGCCCACTGCTACAGGTTGCTGTCTGTCTGCCTGATACCCAGTTCCACCAAGGGTTGGCCTCTCATCTGGCTTTCCCATACTGGCTAGAGGAGACGCTGTCTGATAAGACCACTGCTTAGTTTAACTGAGAAGCAATGGGGATTTCTCCTCTTCTTTCCCTCTGTCTTTTCCAGTGACTCTTCTCATTTGCTTTCTACCCCCCTCTTCCTCCATTTTAACCTTAAGAAATAGCATTCAGCATGATCCTCCATATTGAGCTTCTCTGATAAAACATGAGTTTGTGATTTATTGCTCCAGTTCTGTTTGCTAAATTAAATTTATAAATATTAAAGCTTACTCTTAGCAGTAAGAGTTGGTGCTAAGGAGTGTGTGTGCATCTGTGTATGTTTGTATTTGTGTGCACTTCTATGATTTGAGAGCAAAACCTGACAGAGACAGCTACAAACATGTGGGCTGTACTTACTTGTGAATTGAAATATTGCAAAGAACACTTCAAAATGGCAATGTCCAGTGGAAATTAGATTTAGCTGTCAGCTGAGTTGGATGTTACCAGCTCTTCTCATATCACTACATATTTAAGAGTTTATAGGATATTTTCTGTCAAAAACCTTGGGACAGGAGCCCACTGTGTTGCCAATTCATTTAATTGGGAATAATTTTTTCTTTGAGAGAGAGAGAGAGAATTTTTTAATATTTATTTTTTAGTTTTCGGTGAACACAACATCTTTTTAATTTTATTTTTATGTGGTGCTGAGGATCAAACCCAGCACCCCGCGCATGCCAGGCCAGCACACTACCGCTTGAGCCATATCCCCAGCCCAAATTGGAAATAATTTAACATACTAATATTTCAGTATTCAGAAGAAATTTGGAAGCCAGCCACTCACTATATGTTCTTACTTGTCAGAGTCATACTGAATTCTCCAGGTATCAGCATGTAAGAAAGTTATTTTCAAAAGGCACTCACTTAAGTGGGATAGACTACTGGTTAAAAAATGGCACTGAACTTAGTGCTTAGACATTTCTCAGTTTTTCCCTCTAAACTGGTAACCTTATTTTACAAGTAGCGTATTAACAGCCTCTTGATTCATTAACTTTGTGAGCTCTCTATCAGAATTTATTAAAAATAGTAGGAGCTTTTAATTTTAAATATTGACTGTCCCTGCTTAATTTCTTAACTGAAAATCACAAAAACATACAACATGAAACACTAAGCTGGCAATGAAAAAATTTTCAAAATTATGTGGAAGAATTTCTATTTAGCCAGAACTCTAGAATTAAAAAATCATTTGGGGGCTGGGTGTACCGGCGTATGCCTATAATCCCAGCTGCTCAAGAAACTGAGACAGGAGGACCACAAGTTCAAGACCAGCCTAGGCAACTTAGCAAGACCCCATCTCAAATAAAACAAAGGGTTGGGGTTGGGGGTATAGCTTAGTGGCAGAATACCCGTTGGGTTCAATCCCCCAGTACAAAAGAAATTGATGACACAGGTTTGTTATGTGCACCTGGAAATAGGTTGACTATTTTTGCCTCCCTCACTCCTCTTGTTTCAAAAACACAAGGTTGAATTCAGTTGAAAAAATGATCAGCTGTTCCAATTACTGCTTCTGTTGAGACCCACATGCTCAGATTTTCCTTGGCCATCACTGGCCATCAGTTCTCTCTCACTCCCCACCCCACCCCCAACTACAAATACCAGAAAAACATACCTGCCAAAGGAACAGGAGGGTGGTGTCTGGAAGTAAGAAGAATGGGGCATCTGTAAATGGGGACAGCCATCAGAACAGTATTAGATAAAAATGCTAGAAATTAAAATATAAGAGCTACTCAGAGAGCACTGAGTGTTTACAGAATGAGTCTGAAGTAATATCTCCATTATGTTAACAAAAAGTTTTGTTGGGCAGAAAACTTCTTTTAGAAGTACAAGAAAACAAGCAGAAAAAAAAATTTTGTAGCTTTTGCAAAAAATACTACTGAACAAGGCAAACTAACATTCCAAAAGCTTTCCAAAAAATAGAAAATTCTGAAAATGATAATTAAATATAAGCAATATCAGAAAAAAATTTTCCAAAAATTAGTAAACTAAGTCAGCAGAAGGCTAGAAGACATGTTCTCTAAAACAGAAACAAAGAATTGAACATCCTAAAATGCAAAACCATCAAACAAAGCTGTAAAGGAAGATGAACAAGATGTGGAATTCTAAGGAAACTCAAGTCAAGCACTTACTTAAATTAAGAAATTAAAATCTGACAAGAGGGAGTAAGAAGTAGAATTCCTACTGTTGGAATCATCGATATAAAAGACAATACTAGAAGTTCTCACAGAATGTGAATGAAAAGGACAGATGGTGAGAAAATGACAGATATGAAGGGTAGAGAATGGAAATTTGAGCTAAGAAGTTGATGGTCTTTGAAATACAGTAATCAAAACCATGACCAAAGAAACATGTTCCTAAGCCGTGAACAGACTTGGGTATGCAGAGCAGTCTCGCAATATTTGGAGGCAAGTCATTGAAAAGAAACTCTAATGGGCTGGATGCTCAGGGCTGTGAGTGCAGAAAGCTCAATTTGGATCAACTAGATTATACGGAAATTTTTGGTTCTCATAAATGGCGATTCCAGATATAGGTGAGCTTCAGGGCTGGCTTAATCCAGAAGCTACAGCTCCCTTTCTGTCTTAGCATCTTCGAAGACTCTCTTCACCCAGGGCAAAGTGGTTGCAGGAGTTCCAGTTTTCACATCTGTACACCACGATACTAAGAATGAATCATTCATTCTGTCCTAGGATTTCAAGTGGGATTCCCAAGTTTCATCCTTAGAACTGTTATAACACATGCCCACACTTGAACCAGTGACTGAGACCAGAGAAATGGAATTTGCTAATAAGCTTCAAGAGAATTTGAAGAACATCAGAGTCCTGTTAAAATGAAAAGGAAAAATGAATATTAGGTGGACAATCTACGGAATCCACTCCAGAGACTGACTCAGAGCACATCCTAGAAAAAATGTTGGAACTGTATAGAGAAAGAAAAACTCAATTTGCCATGTCTGGCATTTTTCTCATTTTTCTTTAACACTGAATTTCTCCTTTTAGAGATGATCAAAAGGTAGAATTAATCAAAACAGTTGATATGCATGGAATTACAAGTGTTCGTGCTGTAGTGTTCCTCCCTAGACGTAAAGATCAAACAAACTTTGTAGCTTTACAAAAAGGAAACAATCAGGCTGACCTCAGACGTTTCTTTTGTTTAACCAAAAGCCAGAAGAGAATAGAGAAATAGTGTTGTAGAAGAAAAGTCTGTAACCCAAGAACTTCATAATCAGCTGCATTGCCTTGAACTTGTGAAGGCAACAGAAAGCTTCAGATATGCAAGGATCACCTGTGCTTATTTGTTAAATATCAGTTGGGTATACTTGAGCTAACTGTATGGTATGTCCAAACGAGTGCCTCAAGAATGCCTTCCGCTGTCATATATAACTCATTAGAACAAATACATACAAAAAAATAAATAGAAAAGAATGGGATGCCATGACATGGAAGGACTGATGGGATGCTCCATAGACCCAGCACCCATCTCTTCACAGAAGCTCTCAGGAGAACTGTAGACCTCACCTGTTTGTACTGGCCACACTAATGACGCTATAGGAATGTGGTTGGGTTAGTATATTTTTCAAAACATCGTCTGGATGAGGCTTAAAAGTAAATAATTTCATTAGGAATTATTAGTCCTTATTATGAGAATGGTCCTGTAATTGGACTTCAGAAATTCCCCCTGAAAAGCCTCAGGCAAGAGTGTACCATCAGATTTGAAAGTGTAATTAAATATGACTGAAATTATGTTTCATTTTAGCCCACCTATGACTAAAAAAAAATAGTCTCTAGACTTTTTTTAAGACCTTTAAAAAAAATAAGAGTAGGTCAAAGTGGAACACTGAAGATGAAATGGAAAGGGAGATGAGTGAGATAAGAAACTATTAAAAAGACAAAATGGAGGAGGCAGCGTCGAGCAAAAACTGACTCTTAGGATTGAGGAAGCGATGCAGAAGGCAAATTGAGTTGAAGTTTCAGGGGATGATTTGTTCCTTCTGATAACACCATGTCTGGCATTTTTCTCATTTTTCTTTAACAGTGAATTTCTCCTTTTAGAGATGATCAAAAAGTAGAATTAATCAAAACAGTTGATATGCATGGAATTGCAAGTGTTCATGCTGTAGTGTTCCTCCCTAGACGTAATGGTGCCCTCGTGTTAGTGTTAGTAATGTTGTTCTGTCCCTCACACACTGCTCAAGTACTGAGGCACCTCCATTCCCACTGGGAAAGAGCCACTGCCCATCTAGGCAGCTCCCTAGATGCCCCTGCTCTTCTTCAGAGCCTCCCTAGGATCCGGCACTGGCATTATTACCAGCTGGCATACCAGGTTTGTCCAGAACCTGTGTTTTTTAATATTATCTCAGGCTTCGGAGATACCTTCTTGGGAACATACATTGGCTGTGAAATCTCTATTTTCTTTAAGTCCCCTGTATCATCCTGTTCTTCCGGCAGTGGTTTCTTCCAGCTACCATTTGAACAATTGCTGGTCTTTATGCTCTTTATAATATCAGAGACCTACCACTAGTTCCTAACTCCCAGCAGATCTTTCTCATGTTTCCTGGACCTTAAAGGCTTAAAACTTAAAATTCAGTATCTATCTGTGAAATTGTTCCTTTGTTTATTTTGTTATTGTTGCTGTCTGTTGTCTTGTTTTAAGGTGGACTTGGTATTGCCACTCACCACCAGGACTGGGATGTCTCAGTGGTAGAGCTCTCCCCTGGTATAAGGAAGGCCCTAGAAAAATGGTTCCCAAATATGTCTACATCCTAATCCTTCTGAATTTGTATTTTTTTTTACATGGTAAAAGAGATTTTTTTAGATTTAAATTAATGAAGTTTTAAATAGGGAAATGATTCTGGATTAACTGGATGGGCCCAATTTAAGTATCTGAGAGCAGAAAAGATGTGGCAGAAGGGAAAGTCAGAAGACTGCATCCAGCCGTGGAGCTGACCTGCGGTTACTGGCCCTAAGAAGTTTATGGAGAACACATCAGGAACTAGAGGAGAGGCCTCTAGGAACTAACAGTGGCCCTAGCTGACAGCCAGCAAGGACCTCAGTCCCACAGTGTTATAACCATATGGAACTCAATTTGGCCAACAACCTGAATGATATCGAAGCAGATTTGTCCTCGAAACCTCAAGAATAGAGCACAGATCTGCCAATACCTTGATGTCAGCTTTGTACAAGTCTAAACAAAGAACCAGCTGAGCCACGCCATACTTGGACTTTTCACCTACAGAACTGTGAGATGGCACATAGATGTTGTTTTAAACCACTAAATTGGTGCTAATTAGTTAGAGCAATAAGAGGAAATTAATAAATCAACATTAAAAAATGGCAACAACAAAAAGCCCAATAGGGTACAGTGAAATGAACGATAAACATGGCAGAACACACAATCCAGAATGGCTGTTGACTTGCGCTCTCTCTGGCTGAGTTTGTCTACACAGCAAGGGGCACACCAGTTCTAAAAGCCAAGCAGATTCAGTGGGTGCCTGTGCTCAACACCCAACTAAGAGGATCAGGAATTTTGGGGAAAAACATGAAAATGTATGTGTATGTGTGTGTATTTTTATGTAAGAAAAATATTTTAGAGATGAGCCTTATTAACAAAAGGGCATTGCCCAGTGCTGAAATCAGAGTGTGGGTGTAGTGTTTGCAGCTACTTGTTTGTTTACTTGTAGTCAATATTGTGTATAGTAACAAATTGGTAAGAGGAAGAAATTATGCAAAAGAGAGATTGTTTTGACAGTGAGTACACACTGTTCCATTTGTATTTTATTTCTTCTGGTACAACCATAAAACTTTGAAAAAGTTTCTAAGATGTGTTAGCACAAGGTCTGGGAGAAGGCCACTTCACCCCCACTAGAAGATACTGAGTTGCTTTGCAATGTGAATTACACTAATAATACAAAAGTTTACTGATATTTGCTGTAATTCCAAAGTAGACAAGCATAGGGATTGACCCTGTGGAACCAGACTACGTGGGTTTAAAATCCTAGTCCTTTCACTTACTAGCTTTGTAGCCATGGACCAGTTACTTAACTTCTCTGTACCTTGGTGTCCTTTTCGATGAGAATACATAATAAGATACCTCTATCATGGTTTGTTAGAAGGATTTGATGTAAATACATTTGGAAGCAATAAATGTTAGCTGTAATTATTATTACTGTCCTTTCCTGAAACATGCCATATTCTCGCACCCCGGACCTAAGAAACAGTTGATTCCAAGGAGTGGAAATGGCCTAACTGGCCTTTATAAAAGCCAGACAAGGACATCTAGTCACCTGTCCGTCCTTTCTGCACCCCTCCTACTTTTGTTTTTTGGGGTTTTTTTGGGGGGCGGGTAGGGAGGGAGTATACTGGGAATTGAACTCAGGGACACTCAAACACTAAACCACATCCCCAGTCCTACTTTGTATTTTATTTAGAGACAGGGTCTCACTGAGTTGCTTAGTGCCTCGCTTTTGCTGAGGCTGACTTTGAACTCGCCATCCTCCTCCCTCAGCTTCCCAAGCCGCTGGGAATATAGGCATGTGCCACCACCCCTGGCTGCACTGTTATTTTCCACTTCAAATTAATGAGACTTTGTAGGTAATACTGGCATAATAGCAGTATTTTCCTTACCATATAGATCTTCATTTTCATAACATTGTATAGAACATTTCTCTGTATTCTTTATCCATCTTTTTCTATGAATAGTGCTTCATGAGGTGAAGTAAGCATGCTGTAAAATGATCTGTCAGAACTAAACTAATTTGGAAAATGATGGGTTAAACAAAGTTTTCTGGACAGGACTTATCAGAGCTCTTATAATTAACATACACATTGAATTTCCACAGACAAGTAAATACATTGCTCCCAAACATATTTGAGCCCTGAACATTTTTTTTTTTCAATAAATGCCTCAAATTTTCCTAAAAGTATTCTGCATATACAGTTTGGGAAACAGCCACTCTATTGAATCAAGATTGTTTAACATGTATGAATTATGATTATTATGAATTATAGCTGATGGTAAAGGAGATTTTATAGCTACCAATCTCAAATATATTTATTTTGTATATTTAAAATGGCCCTTATTAGGTTACATTAATGTCTTTTTACCCATATTTGTACTCTGACAGAGATAATGAGATCATGATTCTCCAATGAGCAAAATCAAGTCATCAAATACATATTGAGTTGGGCATTCTAGGTCTTTAATTTGGACCTTTAGTGAGTCCTTTTATAAAGCAGTTTATATTTTCAGCCAATACCACTTAGATGGTGAGTTCTATAGGGTTCGCCTCTGTGTGAAGAAATTCCTTTCTGTTGTCCTAAACTTACTTTTCAGATGTTAGTGATAGACCCTTGATTTCCTAGTCAGGATTGGTAAACATGACCATGTTTCCTCTTTCTGACCTTAGATATAGAAAGCCTTATCCTCCTTATTGGTGTTTGTCTTTCTAAACTAGAAAGTCCCCATTTTTTGGTTTGTCAGTTGACTCATGTCAAGAAGGCGGTGAGTTTTTCCCCTACTTGCAAGCCAGCAAACTAGTTCTCCCCAGTTTATGCATACTGGCAGAAGACACATAACTCTTGGGTTAGTGACAAAGGACTGTTTATTACTCCCTGCAACAGCAGTAGCCAGAGTATCAGCATTTGCACCAGATTCTCAGTTCTCATAGGAAAATGAGAAGAGGGCCAGGTGATGCCTCCACGTACAACCAGTGTGTTATAGAAGAGAAACCCCTAGCTTAGGAAACTTGAAACTTTCATCATGGGCAATAAGTCAGCCAGGCCTTGGCCCTAGCAGGAGACATTATTATGCTGAAGAGTAAACAAACCTATTTATGTACCAGAGAGAGACACTATCTCTATCTTCCAAGGCTGTTTACTCAAAAATCTAGTTCAGGACACATGTAGTCAATGTCTCTACTCACAAGAGGTACAAAAACACTAGGAACTTGTAGAATTATCTCCAAACAGTTGGCAGTTGTCCCCTCTATTCCCTATATCATTTTTCCTTCTTTTGAAATGTTTTATTACAAACATCCAAGTTCTGTGCCAGACCTGCATTAGTTAGATGAGTGAAAGTGTATGTTTTTATTTCTTTTCATACAACTTAAATTTCACAGGGGTAGAGACTTTGTTTACATAGATATCCCAAAGGCATAGAACTGTATCTGACACACAGTGCACATTCAATATGATTTACTGGATGAATATATGGATTTCCTATCTTCATATTGAGATCAGTAAGTTACTGGCTTTGCTGTGCAGAAGGAGCAATGAATGATATTCAAACCTTCAAGAAACTCCCAACAATGGTTCCAAGAATTATCTGCATGGAACTCTCCCCGCCCACCTCCTAACTCACCACCTAGCTGCTCCATCCTATCCAAACGCATCACAAGTATTATTTCCTCAAAGAAACCTTCCTGTCCAGAATAAAATCAGTATCTCTGGTATTCACTCTCATAACACCCTGGTATTTTTCTTATAGCACTTAATACCATTTGCAATTACATTTTTTTAGTGTCTTCTAGTTTACAGTCTGTTTATCCCATCACTTACAAAGCTGTGGACCTGACCACCTCTGCTTTTCTCACCACTGTATAGCTAATGCTTAACAGCATGGCATTAAGTGGCCACTGAGTAGCTGAGTGACAAATGAATGAACATCTTGCAAATTGTAGCTTAGAGCCTGTGGTTCTATGAGAAGCTTTGGCATAGAACAGACCAGAGGCATTACTTCATCTCTTCTTTCACAAACCAGTTTTGCCATGTTTCTTCTCCAGTTGCAGAGTCTCAAGATTTTTAAGTGGAATTTAATCATGTTTTTTATTGCTAGAAAGCATTTAATTTTAATTTAGAACATCATTTTATTGTCTAAATGATATAAACATTAAATCAGCTCATATCCTAGCATCATTCCTTGGGTAATTCTAATGTTTACACTTAATATTCAACCACTTTCGTCAAAAGGAAATGAGACTTACTAATTCTTTGAAAAACCTATCAATTGTCTAATATTATTTGGGGCAACAAGGAAGATAAAAAAGAAGCAAAAAATCAAGCCTCAAGAAGTTATTTGCCCATCTGAGCAAATAAGAGAAATGTGCATGAAGCATTAGCATATAATAATTAGCAAACATTAGGCCATGCCTCTGTAAGTGTTAAGCTACATGGTACAGATTTTTTAAAACTATAAGAATTTTAAAAGTTTAAAAGTATCATGAACTGGACTAGAATAATATGGGTTTCATGTAGTTAGTCCTGAGGTGAGTTTTGGAGATGTTTAATTGGGTATTTAGCAAGAACTTCATGAGACAAGCCAAGAAATAGTGTTTTCTTGGAAAAGTAAGACCTGGCTAGAGTGGAAAATAGTGGCTTGAATGCAAAATCACTGTTAGACTGTAAGAATTGCACAGTATTTATGACTCCTTTTCCATTCAATTAAATAACATACAGAAAGGAAGCCACACCTTCAGGCAAATACGACGGGTGAGGGAAGCCAAAGATGGAGCCCTGCTAAGGCGTCTCAGTGAAGTAAATAAACTCTGAAGGAAAGACTTGGAAGGTCATCCAGTGTACTCATAAATTCCAGCTATTACCAAGATGAAAGGGAAGTGAGAGGCATGAAGAACAATAGGAAGGAGTGTTCCCCAGTCCCCCCAACTGCCTGTTTACAGTAGGGGAGGAGCAGCAGGGCTGCCCAGATGGCAGAGCCAAAGTTAGAATGAGGCTTCCTCGCCCCAGACCTCTTTAGGAAATCCTGTTTGTGACGGTGGCTTCACTGCAAAGTGATCAGGAGCCCTCCCGGTGCTGGAGAAGCACACTTCTGGACTCAACTCTGATTTCTAATGCAGTTTAAAATCTTATTATCATGTGCACTCAGCAAGATAGAAACTCCATATCGGGTGAAGCTTGGGTCAGACCTTATTTTGCAAGCATTTATTTATCTTGCTTGTCCCATTGAAACACTGGTAACACAATAGCTTAAAAACAAGATAAGCCTCATCTTTTTTCCTCTATGGGTATGTTAGGGAATGGTGGTTTTAAAAAAGCCCGGTGATGACTACTTCTTTCACATCACATTACTTCTTAAAGAGAATTAATTTAAGACCAGAGAGCTGGGTGCAGATACCTTAGAATCCAAACCAAGAAAACCAGAAGATTCATCCCCGGAGATCCACTTTATGTCCGCACTTGAGGTCTGTACTTTTATTTTCCCTCTGCCACTCAAGTGCTTTTGGATACGGGGGGGGGGGGGGGGGGGGGGGGGGGGGCTGTTTGTTTTCCATGCCAAACCTCATGAAATGAGATTTGTCTTCCCTCACAGACAGGTGGCCAAGCAGTTACACAGAAAGGGATCTGCCTGGCTGCTGGCCTCTTTGGACACGCAGTATTGTGGCAGCACAGCACCAGGTCCCAAATCTGACCCTGTGGCCTTACAATCTGGAGGCCCACACTGGCAGCCTCGGGGGGGTGACAGAGCTGGTCAGTTGGTATGGATTTGCACTGGTGATCACTGTGGAGAGCCAGGCTGCTCCGTGTCACTTGCTGTGGTCCTGGGAATGTGTGAAACAATAAGATGATTGCTCCACTTAGAGTACAAGCTTCCCTCTCTCTTTTTTAGGGTGGACCAGGACTTGGGGAAAGAATTTTGGCCTTTCCAGACTGTCCATTATTCAGTGTGTTCTTCTGCATTATTTACATAAATCAGGGGCAGGTTTCACAAGCCTTTTTACCTATGAGACTACGTTAGTCATTAGGGTTAATAACTTAATAGTTAGAAGAAATAGGATGAAGAAAAAAATAGATTTCTGAAAACCCGAGGTTAGAGGGTCCCAGAACTTCAAGTTGTTCTGTGAAGAGAATTTACAACCATTCTATTGTAGCCTTTGAATTCAAGAAAATAATCATGATTTAAATTCTCTGACCATCAAGAAATATTCCCCTAGCTATAAATGGCCACTGATCCCAACTGCACACATCCTTAAGGAAACATCTGTTCTCCCTGAGAAAATGCAGTCTATATAACAAAAAAAGGACCCAGTTCTTCCATGCTGTTGCCTTCCATAGACCCTCAGTATCTCTGCTTGTGAGATAATAAAATTATCATTTTTCAGAAATATGAGAAAAATAGGTCAGGACTCACCATTGCTGGTTGAAAAGCCTTTGGGTTTTAGTTTGAGTGACATCCAACCACTGCACAGACAGCACTGCTGGGGAAAACTGGACCCAGTTCTCAGCTTTTGCCTTTCACTCCCCCTTAAAGGCCCACGTGAACAGTAAGCTTAGCATTGTTTCCATTGGGTTCTCTGGGCCCATTTCTTTCTTTTTTTTTTTTTTCCTTTTTCCGTCATCCTTCCCAAAGCTGATATGTCAATTCCACAGGGAAGAAACAAATAGTACACTTGGATGACCTCTGTGAAACACAAAGATCTTTCCTCTTAGCCCTGATTCTGTAGTGATTTTTCTATATTAAAACAAGAAAAAAATGACACAGTCCTGGACCAAATAGTGGAAATCTCATTTATATTATATTTGTGATATTTTGAACAGGGTGAAGGAAAGCACTAATGATAAAGCCACATGCATTGTGAAATCATGGTGAACTGCAACCAGAGCCCATAGTCATAAAGCACCCTTGAAAAACATCCAGTTATTACCAAGGATGAAAGGGAGTAAAGAGCACCAGTTAGCCCTGCCTGCTTCATCATCCTTCAGATTAAATGTCATCTCCTTAGAGACCCCACCATGTCATTCTCCACCAGAATAGCTTATTTTCTTCATAGCACTTACCACTTATTTAAGGATGTTCTTCCTCCCTAAACCATAAGCTCAGCATGGGCAGAAACCATGTCATTCTTAACCATGTTAGTATATCCTGCACTCAGCAGAGTGAAGAATGCATCACAGGTCCCAAATGTGCCTAATGAATGAATGAACAAACTACTGAAGTGTTATTTGGCCAACTTGTTCTGAGTTCTTCATGGACTCTCAACCTCCTTGGATCACCTCTTTCTTAGTATCAACTGAAGAATGCTACTTTGTCTTGACACCAAGCTTCCCAGTGTTGTTTCCATTCAATGACTTTTCTTTGAGAGAAAAAACCACCTGAATTTTTGTTCAGTCTGAACCTCACACCCACTAACAGTTCCACAGTCATATCTGAAGCAAAGTGGACCATCTAGTTCAGTCTCTGTCATTTCTTAGCTGGGTGATGATGACTCATTATCAACCATCCCTCAACCTCAGTTTCAGTGTAAAATGAGGATATTGGTCTGTAGCTCCACATAGTGTTACTCTGGGGTTAAGTACAATTATGCATGTAAAGCACTTGGCTTTGTCCTGTGTATTGTGCATGCTCAGTAAAACTTATTCATATTGCACCTCCGTGTCATCATTTTTCTGGAGCAAGATGAGGGGTGGCTTCTTGTCAGAGGTAACATCAGACATGAGAAGAATTCACAATCAAAAAGTGTAGGGCCCTGTGGTGCTAGGATTCTGGGTAGCACCTCAAGCTTGAGTACAGAACTTAATCTTGGGTTACAGCCGGCTGGGCGGCATGGCCAGATGACTCAGTGGTGAAGTAATGACTAATCGTTGAGGGGCTCCTCGACTCTGTTCCCCTCCACCCCTCCATAATCACTAATAAGACTAGAACTGCTCCTGGAGTCTGGCAAGAGGCTAAGTATGCAAGTGAGTGTCAGGAAAGCCATCTGAGAAGAGTAAAGAAACTAGGCAGAGCTCTCTGGGGCCAGGGGTCTACTCAACTCCTGGACAAGGAGGAGTTGGGGGCTCCTGCCCGGTCCTCTTGTTTCATAGTACCTCACAGAGTCCAGAATGCAGCCCCCAGGGCCCTCAGAGAGTCTTGTTCTGAGCCACAGGAAGAAGTGCCTCACACCAGCTCATAGGGAAACTCCAAAGAGTCAGCAGGAAGAAACTCAAGCAGGATGGAAATGACTGTGTGTCACCATTCTTCTATGCAGTGTTCTGAGTGGGGAGTGAGGAGGCACTTGGCTTTGAGACTTAATTGAACAGAATATACTTTAACTGTTTCTTTCTCATCACAGGCTGTGTGGCTGGCTCACTGGTTCAGTCAAGAAGAGAGCAGTGACTGGTGCCTGTAGTGATCTCTCAGACACCGTTGGCCCTCTCGTGGGTTTATAAGGCAGATGCTCTCTTCTCCCATCTCAAGTGGAACTCGGGAGGAGCCCCACTTGTCTTCAAGTTTCTAAACCATGAGTCAGCAACCTGGCCTTTTTAAGATGATCTTACATAAAATGCATACATTATTATTACATGTTATGTAAGATTATTTTTTAATTTATATGCAGTATTTGTTTTTCCACTTAACAAAAGTAATACATGGTTATTTTAAAACACATTTTTAAGTATGGGTCGAGTACAAGATAAGCCTGAAGCATCTTATTATACCAGAAAGTAAGAAAAAGTTCAAAACTGGTGGGAACATATTAGAAAGGCACAGAATTTTAGGTTAGTGGAGACACTGGACAAATCTGGATATTTTGAGCCTCAAAATATAGAATTATGTTAAAAGATTATAACCTACAAAATAAGATTTAAAAATCTATGAATGCAGGCTGCAGATGTAGGTCAGTTGGTAGAGTGCTTGCCTCACATGTACAATGCCCTGGGTTCAACTCCCAGCACCAAAAACAAAAACAAACCAAAAAAAACTATGAACCCTTAGTGGTAAAAATAAATAGGAAAGATGAGAAAGCTTCTTCTTACAATAGAATACAACTAATAAATACTGAAGGAATGAGAGTTAAACACTCATCAATGAATGCTAAAACCAGTCAGTGAAAATTTGAGGCAGATCAGGAGATATCCATGGTCTCAAAACTGATCTCTTTAAGATGCCTATTTTTTTAAGCAAGAAATATATACCATGAGCCAGTGACCAAGAAATGATCATTATTAGTAGTTTAATTGGTTTCTTTCAACTGTTTGTCCTATGCATTATAGCCTTTTAGTTTTCTTATGAGATCATGCTTTTTTAATTAAAAGAATCATGACACCATTTATTTGTATTTAAATATTCTGGGCTACATGGTAGGCATGTAGTAAATATTTGTTGAAAGAATGAAATTTGCAAGACTTCTTTAAATCAGGCTGTCATAACATTTTTGTAATCAAAGTTTTTTGCGTTCTCACAATTATTCCCTTGGAACTGATTCCTGGAAATAGAATAGTGAATTTTAAGAATATTCGAAAGACTTTGATCCATGGAGTCAAATTACCCTCCAGAAAGATTTTTCAACTGTATTTACCCACCAGGGACATACCGAATGCATGTTGCTCTGTACATTCTTAAGGGGGAAGATTGGGATTAATGTGTATGAAACACCCCGAATAGCCTCTAGCAGTTATCAGTGAGAAAACCATAGGAGCTGCGCATGGTGCCATGTGCCTATAGCCCTAGCACCTGGGAAACTGAGGCCCAGATGAGCCTGGACAACATAGCAGGACCCTGTCACAAGAAAAGAAAAAGAATAGTCATTCAATTCCTCTTCCAGAGGAAAAACCTGGCTCCTGTTTGTGATAAGTTAGCACAGAGCACCACTGTTATCCAAGCTTCCAAGAGGGCCTGCTTCCATCTGGGCTTTGGATGCTGGCTCCTTGACACTCAGGAGCATCAAGCATCCTGTGAGGTTCCCCAAGGTGGGCAGGGCAAGGTGCAACAGCTGAGCCCTGAGCTCTTTAGGCTGGCTGGTGCCCATGGCAACCTTACCAGCTGACCTAAGCCTCCTGCTAGTTGGAGCAGGAGGTATATTATCTCCTGATCGACTCAGTATGCAGATTGTCAAGGAGAACCCAGAAAGGGGCATTCAGAGAGATACCCTTGGATTCAGACGATGAGCAGTTGGTAAAACTATACCAAGCTTTGGATCTTGCTTGCATTTTCCCTTTTGTTTTTCACTGGGCAGCATGTTCTCAAGTGATGACAGTTGGGCTGATGGAGAGCCGTTAGTCAAATCCAGTAACAGTATTAATCTGTGGTTGGAAATGACTGTTGAAGTAAGTGCCAGGCTATTCAGTTGTGGTTTTTCTTCCAACTTCCAATCATGCCAGGCTTCCAGCCGGAGGAATAGAGGCTGTGGTAAAGGAAACCGTTGGTAAACGAAAGAAACCAGAAACTGTCACTACCCATAACAACGAAACAACAAAAAAATTTGCAGAAAAGGAGGGGGGAGACAAAAGGAAATTGTACAATGTGGTTTAAGCCTGCACAGTCTGGTTGAGGCATGAGGCTAGCATGGTGGTGTCCCAGGCACTGAGTCCAATTTTCCAGTGAGGACAGGAAGGCCTTAAGCACCAAACAAACCATGCTCCCCAGTAATATGCTGAGCAAGAAAACTTTTCTTGAGGAGAATGACTAGTATTTAAGTGAGACTATTTTTGTCAATTTCCTAACCTACCTTCTCAGACCACTGCTACACAAAGGAGCCTGGGGGGTCTGGAAATCAAATTATGTCAAGGGAATTTATCCCATAGTCCTTTACACTGAATTTTCTCAATAATGCTCAATAATGTTGCTCCCATTCCTCAGTTATCGAGAAATGCATCCTGTACCTGCGAAGTGCTTAGCAAAAAGAGTCTATCTCCTGTTTCCTTATTTTATTTCCAGAACTTTAGACTGGCAACTCTCCATGAGTGTTCGCCAAAGCTCTAAGATATTTTTTAATACTTTAAGGAGAAAAAAATCCTTTCAGTAAATCTATAGTCAGTGAACTGAAAAATTATATGGACATAAAAAGGAACAGAAAATATAAGTACTATATACCTGAAGTATTTCTTCACCTCCTAACAAGAGAGTAGCTATTTTACCAGTCTACCAGATTCCAGTGATTCTGAGATATTCATTTTTTTCATGTTTGATTATTTCTAAAATCAAGATGTGAATCACAATCAATTGATGACATCTTAGATCTTATAAAATATGGTAGTTTTGCCTGAAAAGCAAAATTTAATCATTTTCTGCATATCATCGATATCCAGTGGTCAGTTTGGAGGGGATCAAAGGACATTTTCAAGCACAGGTAAAGAAAACATTTAATTCATGGATACTTTTATTATCATTTAGTAACTAATGTCCTTTTGAGGCATATAAGGAATCTCAACCCTGGAATAGATTAAAGAAACTGAGGTTCAGAATTCGTGTTGCCCTCGAAGGCAGATGACATTTGGTCAGGGGCAGAGCAAGACTGGGGTTCTTGCCCAGGCTGGAGGGTCAACACAGGCTGTGTTGTCCTGCTCCCTTTCAGAGCAGGACAGGCAGACGCCACATTTGCTCTGAAGCATCTTTCTATCTGAGCATTGGCAGAACTCCCAAACAAGTGGGTAAAGGTACCAGGAAAGTTCAGCCTCAAATAAGGGGGTCAGTAAGACAGGAG